CTGTCTGGCTTCCACCTGCATGCGTATGAAGTGATTGCAAACACCATGGTGTGGGTCAGGCGTACCTTAGTCCTCCACGGGATATCTTTGCGCTGTAACTCTGTACATGGTCTTGTATAGCAGATATGTCCAATGTAATGCATCATTTGATTTCTTGGCTGCTGCTTCCATGAGCATTGATTATAGCTTCGAGTAAAATGAAATCGTGGACACCTTCAAAAATTATTATATATTTACATAGACATATACATATATATGAGCATTGTACATTAATTCTTAATTTCACCAAGTAAGGTTGTGGTTTTTAATAAAAAATAAGATGCCTTGAACAAAAAATCTTACCATAGTGAATGATGGGGGGAGTGCGGAGTGGAGATCCAAAGCCCATTAGTAGGCCACTGGAGATCCCCTTGCAGAGGGGTCTCGGGGAAGAGATGAGCCAGTTAGGGTGCGATGTAACAACGATGAGAAATACAACTTTCCTCTAATTCCTAAATGTTTCCTCCCCGCTCCCACTACCATGACTCGAATTTGACCTTGCAAGTCTGGCTAGACCAGAGGATGTACACTGGTACAGATAGGAACTGAAAATACAGGGAATCCAGGGCAGATGAGCCCTACAGGACCAGTGGTGTGAGTGGAGAAACAGGCAGGGTAAAGGGAGAGTGGGTAGGAAAGAGGGAACTGATTACAAGGAACTATATGTGACCTCCTCCCTGGGGGACAGACAACTGAAAAGCGGGGCAAGGGAGACGTCGGACAGGACAAGATATGACAAAATACCCATTTATAAACTATCAAGGGCTCTTGAGGGAAGGGAAAAATGAGGACCTAATGTCAGGGGTTTAAGTGGAGAGAAAATGTTTTGAGAATGATGTACAAGTGAGCTTTACACAATTGATGTGTGTATGGATTGCCTTTTGGTTGAGTCCAGCATACAGCGAGCCAACATAGGGCTGTTAAGACTGTTCATCTTTGTGGAAACAGACAGCGCCCTCTCACCTGAGGGTGGCTGAGAGGTTAGAACCGCCAAGCTTGTGGTTTGCAGCCAGTCTTTACCCCGCAGAGCCTCTAGGCCCCTCAATATTAAATAGGTACCTTTTAAATTGAACACATTTTCCTTAAGAAAGCCCTGCTGAATTGTCCTTGTTTGTCTCTCTGTGGTCGTCCCAGGAACGTCTGCGTCAGGAACTAACATTTTCCTGTCTGTACCCTCAAACCACAGAAACGTGGTTCATCCGTTCCCTCATGGGATGAAAGGAAGGGCAGCAGGGATGCCATGTCAAAATGGTGCTTCCGGCTCATCCCTGAAGTCTCCTGGGGGCGCCAGCCTCCCCTCCCCTCGCAGCCCTACTGATTCTCGCAGAACACCCGATAGTTGTACTGAGGACCCTCGATGGATTCTGAGTGTCAGCAGGCCTGTGCGAGATGGCCTGGCCCTGCACCCTCTGCGCCCCTGTTCTCTGAGCCCATTGTTGCAGCCACTGTGTCCACCCACCTCCTTGATGGTCTTCTCAAGCCTGTTGTCCTTTTCCAGGGACCAATCCTCCTGATTGACATGCCCAGAGTACACGAGACAGTCTCCTCCCCTTTACTTCTAGGCACATTCTGCTTGTACTTCTCCGTGGACAGATGGGTTTGTTCTTCTGGGAGTCAAATGGTATTGTCAGCATTCTTCGCCAACACCCTAATCAAACGCACCCACCCCTCTGCCAGCTGCCTTCTTCACTGTCTACTTCAACAAGCACAGGAGGCTATGGAAAGTATCCTGACTTGGGACAGGCACACCATAGTCTTCGGGTGAAGGTACATGTAAACCTGAAGTAGCTATGCCTTGGAAGATAACAATACATCTTCTGATAAATTACTAGGGATATGGGACTCTGTCAAGAATAGTGTATTATAGCTTACATGTCAGCACTAAAACACACGGACACACACAAATCCTTTAACCTAGAAATTAAAGACAATGAGAAGAGTATCGTTAGAAATCATTTAGTCAGACTTTACCCTTTTTTTTTTTTTTTTTTTTTACATTAAGAAGAATCAAGGTGCCAAGGAATTGGCCTCTGTCCCTGGGGCACAAAGGTGCCAGGCTAACCCTGCCACTCACTTCTGCTTGTGGATCCAACACTGTCTTCGTGTAAAATGATGCCGCCTTCACCCACCCGAGCCCCCTAAGTCCCTTTGCTGCTACGTGGTCTTGAAAACGTGTGAACAACTGGATGCTGTATTTTGTGTGTTCACGTGACAAGATAGAAGGAAGACGGCAGAAAGGAAGAGAATAGGGATAAAACGGGCCACCGGGCTGGGCGCCCAGCGTGGCTGCCGGGGCTGTAACCACTGCAGGCATTGGTTTCTGAGGTCACACTGGGTTGAGATGTAACAATACGTTTTCAGACTGCTGCAGTCACCTG